TTCTAGGACTAAACGGTCATCCAATGCCTCCAGGTTTTCCATAGTAACCTAGTTTACATTGACTCATGAATCCAACTATTAAAATTACTACAATCTCTACAAAATCTTTTTTTCTGATAATATCTATTATATGTTTAGATTATTTTGCATCGAGTTGTAAGAATTCAATTTTATGAATGTTTCTTATCTAACAGTTATCTTACTTACTTATCTAAAATGATCAAGTTCTCAATGAAATTTTGACTGGTTCACTTTCTACGAATCATATTGTTGGTTCATTTAAATTTATCAAAGGATCTGGATCTACAGATGCCAAATGCCCTGATACGGCCGAGGGTGGGGAGAGTTCGATTGACCTGTCGAAATGCTCTCACATGGCAAAGCGTATATAGCCTCTGTCACGAAAGTCCTAAACACTGCCTTCTCGCTGCATTACTGTTGTTTATGAAATTCAGAGGACGGAAATCGAATGTCCGGCGCTTTAACCGGATCTCAAACCAATGGTGCTCATGGACACCAGTATCCTGAAGGAACAAATGGCGTATGAACCGATTGTTGGTCACCGACTACCGTGGGACTATATCTCCTCACGATGCTTCTCTGCCTTTTGGATCAGACCTTCAGGTCGAAGGCTCCGGGTGTGCCCCTTCCCACGAAATCACCTGCTTCGGTTTGGGCACCCGGACAGTATCACAGCCCTCACACATATCAAGTGAGATTTGTGTGGTGCATATGCATTTGGTGCCTCCTTGTCCCAATATCTATGTGGTAAAATCAATCAATCAATCATTCCTGTTCAGTTTTACGTTAAAGTAAACATATAATTTTTGTCTAAATCAATCATTAAATCTCCATATTGAACACATTTAAAGTACAAATCAATTAGTTAAAATAATAATACTTATAGAAATACTTAATCATAAGGATCACCTTATTCATTTTGATGAAGTTTTGCTCTCTGAGCTGGATTTTTTAGTCGTGGAGCTTTCATCGTTATTCTAAACGACATTATCAGCACAAACTTCAGGTATTTTGTTAATTTCAATAGTTAAGATCATGGGTCAATTGAAGCTAGACCACTATGGAAAACCTGGAAACACTCGATGGCCGTTTCGTCCTATTGTGAGACTCCTCAGCATTATTATATGTTTATTATAATATAAAATTCTCATTATGTAATATTTCAATAAATTACTCTTTCTCCTCTCAGATACCAAATGTATAATTATATATATAACCAATAGCATTCATTCTTTGTTTGTCTTTTCAACTCTAGTTCAAAAAGATCGTATTGTATTGAAGTAGTTTCTTTATTTGAATCTTTTCTTGGTCACTGAACTATTTCGAAATGTTTTTATCCTTCTACATATGATTAATTGTTGACCAATAAGAATATAGACAATTAGTTTTAATGAGTATAAAATACTGAAAATATGTGACGATAGATTATAGGTCTTTAATATTTACTTACTGACTTACGCTTATTACCAACAATGGGACATAGGCCGCCGATCAGCATTCTACAACACACTCTGTACTGCGCCTTCCTTTCTAGTTCTATCCAATTGTTATTCATTCTTCTCATATCTGTCTCTATTTCCCGGCGTAATGTATTCTCTGGACTCCCTCTTCTCCTTTATCTAGCGTTAAGGATTCCATGTGAGAGCTTACCTTGTAGTTGGGCGTTTTCCTCAATGTGTGCTCTATCCACTTCCAGCGTTTCTTTCTGATTTCTTCTTCCAATGGAATCTGGTTTGTTCTCTCCCACAGTAGGTTGGTGCTGATAGTTTATAGTTAGCTTTCAACAATCCATCATCAATTGAGGAACAAATTAAATCACAATGAAATAACCTTTCAATACATTAAAGTTATCTATTAAACATTAACTAACAAGCCATTTACTTATTTTCACTATGCACTGATGCCTGATAACATCAGAGAGAGGGAAGACATTGTGGAAAAGAAAACACTCATTAGTTATTGCATAATTCTCTTGTTTTTCTTTTCAAAGAATATACTACTTAAGAAGACAATAAAGTGCATATTATTTATACATGAATAAAATCACAAACATACAGTATAAAACTACGAAAGCCATCATCCAGAAGATATAGCTGTTTATCAACAGTGCTCTACATAAATAAATTCGGATCCGTTGGCCAGACACTAGCAGTAACAATCTACTATGGGAGGAAAAGAATCAGATTCCAGCAGAGGAACAAAATGAAGTAGGGGCACTGGAAGTGGCATAAGACACACAGTGAGGAAAGCACCCAATTAAGTCACAAGGTAAGCCCTCACTTGGAATCTTCCAGGCCGAAGAAGATGAGGAAGTTCAAAAAGCACATTACGTCAAGAAATAGTGACAGACATGAGAAGAATGAAAAACAATTGAATAGAACTAGAAAGGAAGGCCCAGTACAGTATGTATTGGAAAATGCTGGTTGACAGCTTATGCTCCATTGAGGGTAACAGGCGTAATTAAGTAAGTAACTTTGAACTATGAATGATTTCTGTAAAAAACAACCGAATAAAAATGAAATAATTGATAGATATCAGTATAGTGTTGCGGAGATTATTAAGTTATTGATTGAGATCATAAACCGATTGATGTTAGGTTAACATTGACGGCCGTTTCGTCCTATTGTGGAACTCCTCAACAGTGTGTATCCACGATCCCGCTGGTGGGATTCAAACCCAGGGCCTTCAGTCTCGCTCGCAAATGCTCAACCATTGAGCCGGCATTCAACGGTGTTAGTGTCTAACTTCAAACAATCCACGAAATCGTGCTACCGTTGTAGAAATCAATTTGAATGGAATTGACACTTCCATTTGAATATCATCACTTTATATGTCCACACGTTGAAGATTGTTTATCAAATGATGTATATATATATATATATATATATATATGGTGTATAAGGTATTTATCATTTCTGTGTTTGGATAGTACATCTTGTTATTACCCCTATAATTCCATTCTGTGTTGTAATGTCCTTCTTTTTAATCTACTTTATTTATTTATTTATTCAATGTTTCAATTCATACCTTTTTATCCATCATTACATAAACATGTTCAGTATTATTTACAGTCTAATATATCTATAAGAGTAGGCGACTAATCCTTTTCCTTCCCAGTCCTCCCCCTCCCTCCTTTTTTGGTCATCACCTCAAATGAATTTTCATGTTAAAGTTGTTTGTTTTTTTTAAAAAAAAATTAAGAATATGGAATAACAAGTGAAAATTTCTTAACCCATTCTTTGTCCCTTTGTTGTTGTTGTTGTTGAGTATTTCACTATTGTGTTATGCCTTGTTGTTTTGAGAGATATTAAGGGGATCTAATGAATTGTTTATCATTTAATTTATAATAGAATAATTATTTTTGTGAAAATATCAGTTTAAACAAATGAAAAGTACTTCTTGTTCACAAGATTGTTGATTTACAAAATAATGGAACGCCCACGACAAAGTGGGTTGGAGAATGATGGTCGGCGGCCTATGCTCCATTAGGAGTAACAGGCGTAAGTAAGTTATTAAGTAAGTAAGTTTTCTGTATAATTCCAAACTATCTTCTTTACGATTGTAAATGTTCACTGATAAATCTCCTGACAGATAATATGGAAAGCAGAATTCATAATTTATATTTTTTTGTTTTTTTTTGTTTTGATATTCCCTACTTAAGTAATTCAACATGAATTATACATATTTGTATGTGTTTGTGCGGACAATCAACTCCGCCTGGGGCTCCTCTGGGGCTACTGCCGGTCCCAACCCTGGATAAAGGGAGAGGGTTGGGCATGGAATTAGCGACCTCATCCCGTAGAAAACTAACTCGCTAAAAATAACGCTAACCAGAAAAAATGATTCAAACCATGAGGTGTTTGTCGATATTGTTAGATGTTTTTTAGTTTGCATCAGAGATTGAACTAGACGACTGTTGAAAATCGGGAAGCAATAGACAGTGTTTTTATTCCTAAGGTGAGACACCTTAACAATGTAAATTTACAATCGAACCCGAAGTCAAATCAACTACCTTCAGGTCTTATAGAAAAAGGGTTACTCCTTTAAACTAATGAGTTAGCAAGTAACCTTTTAAATCTCCAACTAACCAAATTGCTGCATTTCATAACGACTATTTAATTTAACCTATGAGTAGGTAGTATCTCATACTTGACATGGTCGTGTTACATTAGACATAGCTTTTTTACCAGGACTTTGGAAATCATCTTTTGTTATTAGTTACTAGTGAGCATATATGTATGGTTAGTACGATGGATTTGTGAAGACTGTCTAATTTTTAGTTGTCGTCATGATCTGAATTTCATTAGACAACCACTGAAAATCATCAGTTAGTGGAAGTGAAGTATTAAATTCTTTTCAGTGTTCTGCATATATCATTGTATTGAAAGGAACTGAACAAAATGTTTCATTATTATCAGTATAGGAGTTGTGAAGATGATTAAGTTTTTGATTGAGATCATGAACCGATTGATGTTAGACCACTGTTGGAAATCTGGAAGCACTAGATGGCCGTTTCGTCCTATTGTGGGACTTCTCAACAGTGCTCATCCACTACCCCGCCTCGCGAGATTCGAACCCAGGACCTATCGGTCGCGGATCGGTTGAAGTTACACATTAACACCGTTAGATACTGGCTCAGTGGTCTAGTGGTTTAGCGCTCGCGTGAGAGACTGAAAGATTTGTTTACACTAAATGTTGTTTTTAAACTTTGATTTAGATTCTAAGGAATTTATACTAACAACATAAACGGAGGACTTCCATCTTCTTGATTTAATTACAATGCGTAATTTCACAAAATAAACAATACACTGTCTGAAAACTATACAAATTGTGCACATTACCGTTATCTACATAATAACACTTATCATAGGGGATAGATTTCCCACATAGCTGAAAGTTTCTTGTCGTCATTCAATGTTATATATTATATATGTATATATCTATATAATTATCCCCCTGTTTTCCATCTATTTTGTAAGTGACATATTTACCAATTTTTGTTTTTTTTATCATAATGAATTGTTGACTTATACAATCCACTTCTTCACTATTACTACTACTACTACTACTACTACTACTACTACTACTACTACTACTACTACTACTACTACTACTACTACTACTACTACTACTACTACTACTACTACTACTACTACTACTACTACTACTACTACTACTACTACTACTACTACTACTACTACTACTACTACTACTACTACTACTACTACTACTACTACTACTACTACTACTACTACTACTACTACTACTACTACTACTACTACTACTACTACTACTACTACTACTACTACTACTACTACTACTACTACTACTACTACTACTACTACTACTACTACTACTACTACTACTACTACTACTACTCGTCCATGTGTTTGGCCTAATTCCTGTCAGTTATTTCTGGATCAATGTAATAAGAATTTAATTAAGTGTGCATAATAGTAATGGTAAATTGGTTATATATCAACTATATAAAGTGTTATTCTGTTATATTTTTCACTAAAATAATTTGTATCTATGTATGATTATTGTATTTAGAACTTTTTAATGTTCATTTTGATTATCAATTAATCGGTAAACAGAAATCAATAAGTGCTCGCGCGCGAAGCCAGTGGGTCCTGGGTTCGAATCCCGCGGGGTGCGGGATAGTGGATGCCCACTGCCGAGGAGTCCTATACTGGGACGAAACGGCCGTCCAGTGCTTCCAGGATTTCCATGGTGGTCTTGCTTCAATTGACTCATGATTTCAACCAGTGAAATTTCTAAAAATCTCCACAAAACCCATTATGATAGAAATCAATAAATTTTGTTTTGTTTTTTTCCTTTTTTTTATATTTTCTTTTACTCATTATAACTTTATTAATTGAGTTCAAAGAATTTGAATTATTAGAATCGATTGTTGTTAAGAGATTGGAGGTATTCAGTAAGAAATTTTTGATAATAGAATTTTATAGTTAGTAATTATTTCTAATCTGGGATAAACTTTTATATAAACTAAGAATTCTGGTATATTTAACAATGTTGACTCTTCACCTTCATCAACGTTTTGTTTTAAGTTGTTTAATTAATGATGAAGAAGATTTGTAGCTCAGCTGGATAATTTTTGAAGATTTTCACTTTGATATTGATTGAAAGTTGTTTTGAGTTCCATATGTTCTTCAATTGTAGGTCGCATTCCTACAATTGAAGAACATATGGAACTCAAAACAAATTTCAATCAATATCAAAGTGGGAATCTTCATTACCAACGTCAAGGCAGTTCTACTATATGGAGCTGAAAATTAGAGAACTACAACAACCACCATCAATAAGATACAAGTATTTATAAATAGCTGTCTACGCGAGATATTCAACATCCATTGGTCAAATACCATCAGCAACAGCCTTTTGTGGGAGAGAACAAATCAGTTTCCAGCTGAAGAAGAAATTAGGAAAAGATGATGGAAATGGATAGGACATACATTACGCAAATCGTCAAACTGCATCACGAGACAAGCCCTAACTTGTAATCCTGAGGGTAAGCGGAAATGAGGAAGGCCAAAGAACACATTACGTCGGATAATAGAAGTAGATATGAAAAGGATGGATAACAACTGGAAGGAGCTGGAAAGGATTGCCCAGGACAGGGTTGGATGGCGAATGGTGGTGAGCGGCCTATACTCCTCCATGAGGAGTGACAGGAGTAAGTAAGTAAGTAAGTGGATAATTTTTGATAGAGTTTTTGTTATCTGAACTGGATGGTTTGGTCGTGGAGCTCTGATCGTTCTTCTGAACAACATCATGAACACAAACTTCAGGTAGAAGTGAAGTGTTCGAATTTCTCCATATATGGCTCACAGCTTGCTCTATAGATCTTGATGTTGATTAGTACTTGTTGACCTTAAAGATTGTCATTGTTTACTTCTTTGTTTTGGTTGTATATCCCGTTTATTTGATTTTTGTCCCTATATTTGTGCATAATTTTTCTGATTGGTTGTATGCAGTTGATTTTGTGAGCTCTTGGACTGTTGCTATTGTAGTTGAGAATTTGATCTGTGTGGGTCGGCTTCCTATACACTTGAGTCTCCAGTTTACCTGTATCGGTTCTGGTGATTAATACATCCAAGAATGATAGTTTGTCGTTTGACTTATATTCCATTGTGAACTTGATGTCATTGAAGACGTTATTGGTCAGTCCATAGGTGTTTTTCAGCTTATCCATTCTGACACTGAAGAATGTGTCATTCACATAACAAATCCAAAGTTTTGGTATGATCACTGATAAAATCGATGCTTCTAGTCTCTGAATCACCTGAAATTCGTGCTGATGATGTTGTTCAGAAGAACGATGAAAGCTCCACGACCAAACCATCCAGCTCAGAGAACAAAACCACATCAAACTTAGTTATTTTGTTGAAAGCAAAACCTTTCTTCTATTCATTATTATTGAACGTGCTGAATACTGATTATCTAAATATAATTTAATAACTAAGTACATACTGATATATTCAGGCTTCGAACAATGAATTAATATAAAAAATTAATATTGATTGATTACTTAAATTAAAATAAGAAAAAGTGTTCGAATGTTTAGTTCAAAGGTTGATAGTTCTATCCTTTGACTAGTAATTGTTATCACAGCCTCTGCCAGGGAAGTCCTACACACTGCCTTCTCGCTGCATTACTGTTGTTTACGAAATTAAGAAAACGAAAAGCGAATGTCCGGAGCTTTAACCGGGTCTGCGGACACTGTGAGTCCACCTAGGTGAGTTGGGAAACCACAATTCCAAACTAATGGTACACATGGGCTCCAGTATCCTGAAGGAACAAATGGCGTATGGAACAATTGTTGGTTGCCGACTACCGTGGGACTGCATCTCCTCACGATGCTTCACTGCCTTGTGGATCAGACCTTGAGGTCGAAGGCTCCGTGTGTGGCCCCCGTAGGAAACCACGTGCTTCGATCTGAGCACTCGGGCAATATCACAGCCTTCATACAATTAAAATGAAGTGACAATGTTTATTTGTGTGGCGTATGTATATCCGGTGCCCTTTTGTACCAATATTTATATGTTCAAACAAAATTTTTATGTTCTGGGATCATCCAAATCTCTCACTAATATTCAAACTTATACTTTCATACGTTTAAAATGAACTACTTAAATGAGAAAACCAAGAATAGTGAAGTGAAATGCTTTTACTGATTAACTTATTCAAGAATAAATATAGGACTCATTCACATTAACATTGTTGAATATCCCTTAGGAATAAGATCTTAATTTTTAATCAGTACCATGTTTATTTCTATAAAAAAACAACTGAAACCAGATTTTGATCAGTAAAGTCTTTCATGTATTAATTAGTTTAAAACTGATTATACTAATTATGTCAATAAACCATTGTAAGTGTGAGAAAAAACAAACCAAATCCCAGCGAAGGAAGAAATCAGGAAGAAGCGCTGGAAGTGGATAGGACACACATTGAGGAAAGCACCCAACTACGTCACAAGACAAGCCCTCACATGGAATCCTCAAGGCCAAAGGAAAAGAGGAAGACCAAAAAACACGTTACGACGGAAAATGAAGATAGACATGAGTAAAATGAACAAGAATTGGATGGAACTAGAAAAGAAAGCCCAGGACAGAGTGGGTTGTCGAATACTGGTCCGCGGCCTATGCTCCATTAGGAGTAACAGGCGTAAGTAAGTAAGACTGTAAGTGACTATTTTACATAGACAGGCATAAGTGGTAGTGAAGTTTATCGTTTTACAATCTAATTTATGTTTATGAGGGGTATTTAACCTTTAACACCCATTAGTCCAATAATATGAACGTCATTTGAATGATTTGTGAAAATAAGTTACATTTTAATTCTAAGTAAGTTTTCCTTATAAGTTAATATTTGTTAATAAATCATTAGAAATCTGGAAGGGCTAAGTAGCTGCTTTGTACTAGTTTAACTATTCTTGAGCATTAAACATTAACTTCAGTTCCACATGAGACCAAAATGATTTTCTATAAAGTTTCCCCAAGTGAAATGAAGTCACTAGCTCGGAGCTACCTATATCGGCCGTCAATGGACCATGATATAGAACAAAGGTGTCGCAGCTGTTGGTCCTATCTAGAGGCCGCAAAGAATCCGACTAAAGCATAACCACAACCATGGACAAGACCGGACAGACTTTGGCAAAGAATACATGCTGATTTCTCAGGTCCAATACAAAGTAAAAAGTTACTTGGTTGTTGTCGACACTTTCACAAAATGACCTGAAGTATATAACATGCCGAAACCGACGTCAGAGAGTACAATAAGAAAAATTGTCATGATTGTTTGCTTGTTTTGGGGTTCTAGAGATTTTGGTGTTTGACAAAAGCACTCAATTTATGTCATCTGCTTTCAAACGGTTTTGCAGTGAAAATGTCATATTACATCTACGACCCCCTTCTTACCATCCTCAGTCGAATGGACAAGCAGAAAGATTCGTGGATACGTAAAGATACGTAAAGACCTGTGGTTGAAGGGGGAGGAGGTGGTATTCCAGAACAAGTGACCAGTAAATTCTTAATACCCTACAGAGTTACCCTCAATCCGGTAGGGCCAGAAGGAAAGTCAGCTGATAAGTATATGTTCAGAAGGAAAATTCAGACAGTCTTTCACAGTATGTTGCCGCCCAGTAAGATAAATAAACCAACGAACAAGTATCGGACGGTCACTTGCAGCTCCCAGGTGGGTGAAAGGGTACTTTTTCAAGTTGTATCAAGGTAATAAGAAGTGGGAACCAGTTGTTATAGAACGTCGGGTAGGAAATGTACTGTAGCTAGTCAGGAGAAATATTTGAACGTGTACAAGACTCATAAATCAAATTCAAAGGGATGGAAGAACATTTGTCACACAAAGCCGACTCCCGTTTCAAATGCTCGCGCATTCACCTCAAAAAAGCCCTAAGGAGAACGAATGTAGGAGGTATAAACTACAAAAGGGCAAAGCGGCAAAACCTTCAAGAGTGATGGACGATAGAGGAATGAGGTAACCAAGTTTCAGGTAGGCTAGAAATAAAAGTCTTACACAACAGACTTTAAATAGGGAAGGTGTGAGGAAGGCCCACAGGTGAACTTGAGGAAGTTCCAAGAAGCTCAGAAAGAGGCAAAATTATTCTATTCAATCATCTTTTGGAAGAATACTCCAGAATCTCTACTTGTAGCTTCCCTATTGGACAATTGCGGATTAGATGACTATGATGATGATTTCATTTTTACTATAAAAAAAACTATAAATACCTAATAGTTTCATACCATATTTGACACTGTTTTGGAATAGCATTCCTTTCACTTGTCTTCTGTTCTCTCATTTACAACTTGGAGAGTTCTAGTGTTCTAGTGCTCAAGTTATACGCAGTATATTAAGAATTTAAACAGTAGATATAACATTCATAAACCATTCAATTGTTTCAATAGTTGAGA